TCAAATACATAGAATCACAGTTGTTGGCTGCCAGTATGCAATTCATGATGTTTTTCGGGCCCTGTTTTAAGTCGTGTCATGTGGGTTTGCTGCATGAATTTCACTTGGTCAACAGATTCAGTTCAAATACATTGAATCACTGACGTTGGACTGCCAGTAGGCAATTCTATTTGATGTTTCTGGCCTGTTTTAAGCGTGTTCAAGTGGGCTTGCTTGCTTGAAATTCAACTTTTACAAACTGAAATCAGTTCCAATTACATTGTAATCACAGTTGCTTGGGCGCAGTATGCAATTCATGTTGTTCTGGCCTGTTTTATGCGTTTCATGTCGGTTGCTGCATGAAATTCATTTTACAACAGAAATCAAGGTCAAATACATAGAAATCACAGTCGTTGGCTGCACAGTTGCAATTCCATGGGTTTTTGGGCCTGTTTTAAGCGTTTCAAGTGGTTTTGCTGACATGAAAGTCCACTTTTCCATCAGAATCAGTTCAAAGACATAGGTATCTCAGTTGTTGGCTTGCCAGTATGCGATTCATGATGTTTCTGGCCATGTTCTTTTTTAAGCGTGTTCCAAGGGGTTTTTCTGCATGAAATTCACTTTTAATCAGCTATCCAGGTTCCAATACATAGAATCATCAGCGTGTTGGCTGCCCTGTATGCAAAATTCATGATGTTTCATGGCCTGTTTTAGCGTTTCTAAGTGGTTTGCTGCATGAATATTCATTTTACAACAGAATCAGTTCAATTACATAGAATCACAGGTGTTGGGCTGCAGTATGCAAGTTCATGATGTTTTGCTGGCCTGGTGTAAGCGTTGCATGTGTGTTTGCTGCATGTAATTCACTTTGACAAACAAGATTCTAGTACAAAATACATAGTATACCAGTTGTCGGCGTGGCAGTATGCCAATTCATGATGTTTCTTGGCTGTTTTAAGGTTTTCTTGAAGTTGGTTTGCTGACTGCTATGGAATACACTTTTACAACAGTAATAAGTTCCAAATACATAGAGATCACAGTTGTTGGCTGCCAGTATGCAATTCATGATGTTTTGGCCTGTTTTAAGAGTTTAAAAGTGGTTTGCTGCATGAAATTCACTGTTACATAACAGATTCAGTTCCAAAATTCATAGGAATCACAGTTGTTGGCTGCCTGTATGCAAGTCATGATGTTTTGGACCTGTTTTAAGCGTTTCAAGTGGTTTGCTCATGAAAATTCACTTTGTACAACGAATCAGTTCATTTAATGAATCACAAGGCGTTGGCTGCCAGTAGGCAATTCATGAGGTTTCTGGCCTGTTTAAGGCGTTTTCACATGTGGTTTGCTGCATGAAAATCACTTTTACTACAGTAATCAGTTCAAATACATTTGAATCACAGTTGTTGCTGCCAGTATGCAAATGCATGATGTTTATGGCCTGTTTTTAAGCGTTTCAAGTGGTTTGCTGCATGAAATTCACTTTTACAACAGAATCAGTTCAAATACTTAGTATCTCAGTTGTGGCTGCCAGTATGTCAATTCATGATGTTTCTGGCCTGTTTTAAGCGTTTCAAGTGGGTTTGCTGCAGGAATTCACTTTTACATCGAATCAGTTCAGATATCATTGAAACCACAGTCGTTGGCTGCCAGTAGGAAATTCATGATGTTTATGGCCTTGTTTTATAGCGTTTACAAGTGGTTTGCTGCATGAAATCACCCTTTTACCAACCAGAATCAGTTCAAATACATAGAATCTCAGTTGTTGGCTGCCAGTGGCACATTCATGATGTTTCGGCCTGTGTTTAAGCGTTTCAAGTGGTTTGTGCATGATAATTCAACTTTTACAACAGATTCAGTTCACAATACATGTGAATCATCACAGTTGTTGGCTGCCAGGTATGCCAATTCATGATGTTTCTGGACTGTTTTTAGCGTTTCAAGTGGTTTGCTGCTTTGAATTTCACTTTTAAAACAGAATCAAGTTCAAATACATTAGAATCACAGTTGTTGGCTGCCCTGTATGCGACTTCATGATGTTTCTGGACCTGTTTTACGCGTTTCAAGTGGTTTGCTGCATGAAATTCACGTTTACAACAGAATCAGTTCAAATACATTGAATCACAGGTGTTGGCTGCTGACCCATGTATTGCCCAATTCATGATGTTTCTGGCTGTTTTTAGCGTTTCAAGTGGTTTTGCTGAATGAATTCACTTTTACAACGAATCAGTTCCAAAATACATCAGATCACAGTTTGGTGGTGCCAGTTTGCAATGATGATGTTTTCAGGCTGTTGTTAAGCGTTTCTCTATGTGGGTTTTGCTGATGAATATTCACTTTTTACAACAGAATCGTTCAAATACCATAGAATTCACAGTTGTTGGCTGCCAGTATGCAATTCATTGATGTTTCTTGGCCTGTTTTAAGCGTTGCTTAGTGGTTTGCTGCATGAAATTCACTTTTACAACAAGAATCTGTTCAATAAATAGAATCTCAGTTGTTGGCTGCAGTATAGGATTCATGATGTTTCTGGCTGTTTTAAGCGTTTTCATAGTGGTTTCGCTGCATGAAATTCAGGTGTTTTCAAACAGAAATCAGTTCAAATACATAGAATCACAGTTGTTGGCTGCCAGTATGCAATTCATGATGTTCTCTTGGCCTGTTTTAAGCGTTTCAAGTGGTTTGCTGCATTGTAATTACTTTCTTACAACTTGACAGAATCAGTTCAAATACATGGAATCACAGTTGTTGGCTGCCATGTATGCACACTTCATAGTGTTTCTGGCCTGTTTTAAGCGTTTCAACGTGGTTTGCTGCATGAATTTCACTTTTACAACAGAATCAGTTCAAATACATAGAATCACAGTTGTTGGATGCCAGTATGCAATTCATGATGTTTCTGGCCTGTTTTAAGCGTTTCAAGTGGTTTGCTGCATGAAATTCATTTTACAACAGAATCAGTTCAAATACATAGACATCACAGTTGTTGGCTGCCAGTATGCAATTCATGATGTTTCTGGCCTGTTTTAAGCGTTTCAAGTGGTTTGCTGCATGAAATTTCACTTTTACAACAGAATTTTCCAAATACATAGAATCACAGTTGTTGGATGCCAGTATGCAATTCATGATGTTTTGGCCTGTTTTAAGCGTTTTCAAGTGGTTTGCTGCATGAAATTCACTTTTACAACAGAATCAGTTCAAATACATAGGAATCACAGTTGTTGGATGCCAGTATGCAATTCATGTGTTTCTGGCCTGTTTTAAGCGTTTCAAGTGGTTTGCTGCTTGAAATTCACTTTTACAACAGAATCAGTTCAAATACATAGAATCACAGTTGTTGGATGCCAGTATGCAATTCATGATGTTTCTGGCCTGTTTTAAGCGTTTTCAAGTGGTTTGCTGCATGAATTTCACTTTTACAACAGAATCAGTTCAAATACATAGAATCACAGTTGTTGGCTGCCAGTATGCAATTCATGATGTTTCTGGCCTGTTTTAAGCGTTTCAAGTGGTTTGCTGCATGAAATTCAACTTTTACAACAGAATCAGTTCAAATACATAGAATCACAGTTGTTGGCTGCCAGTATGCAATTCATGATGTTTCTGGCAGTGTTTTAAGCGTTTCATGTGGTTTGCTGCATGAATTTCACTTTTACAACAGTATCAGTTTCAAATACATAGAATCACAGTTGTTGGATGCCAGTATGCAATTCATGATGTTTCTGGCCTGTTTTAAGCGTTTCAAGTGGTTTGCTGCATGAAATTTCACTTTTTACATCAGAATCAGTTCAAATACATAGAATCACAGTTGTTGGATGCAGTATGCAATTCATGATGTTTCTGGCCTGTTTTAAGAGTTTCAAGTGGTTTGCTGCATGAAATTCACTTTTACAACAGAATCAGTTCAAATACATAGAATCACAGTTGTTGGATGCCAGTATGCAATTCATGATGTTTCTGGCCTGTTTTAAGCGTTTCAAGTGGTTTGCTTTGCTATGAAACTTCACTTTTACAACAGAATCAGTTTTCAAATACATATAGATGCCACAGTTGTTGGCTGCCAGTATGCAATTCATGATGTTTCTGGCCTGTTTTAAAGCGTTTCAAGTGGTTTGCTGCTATGAAATTCACTTTTACAACTGAATCAGTTCAAATATACATAGAATCACAGTGTTGGCTGCCAGGTATGACAATTCATGATGTTTATGGCCTGTTTTTTAAGCGTTTTCAAGTGGTTTGCTGCTTTGGAATTCACTTTTACATACAGAATCAGTTCATAATACATAGAATCACAGTTGTTGGATGCCAGTATGCAATTCATGATGTTTCTGGCCTGTTTTAAGCGTTTCAAGTGGTTTGCTGCAGAATTCACTTTTACAACAGAATCAGTTCAAATACTATAGAATCACAGTTGTTGGCTGCCAGTATGCAATTCATGATGTTTCTGGCCTGTTTTAAGCGTTTACAAGTGGTTTTTGCTGCATGAAATTTCACTTTTAAACAGAATCAGTTCAAATACTTAGAATCACAGTTGTTGGCTGCCACGTATGCAATTTCATGATGTTTCTGGGCACTGTTTTAAGCGTTTCAAGTGGTTTGCTGCATGATATTCACTTTTACAAAGAATCAGTTCAAATACATAGAATCACAGTTGTTGGCTGCCAGTATGCAATTCATGTGTTTCTGGCCTGTTTTAAGCGTTTCAAGTGGTTTGCTGCATGAAAATTCACTTTTACAAAACAGAATCAGTTCAAATACATAGAATCACAGTTGTTGGCTGCCAGTATGCAATTCATGATGTTTTGGCCTGTTTTAGCGTTTCAAGTGGTTTGCTGCATGAAATTCACTTTTACAACAGAATCAGTTCAAATACATAGAATCAATCAGTTGTTGGCTGCCAGTATGCAATTCATGATGTTTCTGGCCTGTTTTAAGCGTTTCAAGTGGTTTGCTGGCATGAAAATTCACTTTTACAACAGAATCAGTTCAAATACATAGAATCACAGTTGTTGGCTGCCAGCTGTATGCAATTCAGCATGATCAGTTTCTGGCCTGGTTTTGCAGACGTTTCAGGTATCGCTGCTTCACTTTTACAACAGTATCGTTCAAATACATAGAATCAGACAGTTGTCGCTGCAGACGTCAGGTATCGCTGCTGACGTCAGGTATCGCTGCAGACGTCAGGTATCGCTGCAGACGTCAGGTATTTTGCAGACGTCAAGTGGTTCGCTGCATGTCAAGGTATCGCTGCTGACGTCAGGTATCGCTGCAGACGTCAGGTATCGCTGCAGACGTCAGGTATCGCTGCAGACGTCAGGTATCGCTGCAGACGTCAGGTATCGCTGCACGTCACTGCAGACGTCAGGTATCGCTGCAGACGTCAGGTATCGCTGCAGACGTCAGGTATCGCTGCTGACGGTCAGTATCGCTGCAGACGTCAGGTATCGCTGCTGACGTCAGGTATCGCTGCAGACGTCAGGTATCGCTGCAGACGTCAGGTATCGCTGCAGACGTCAGGTATCGCGCGTCAGGTTCACTGCAGAGTCAGGTATCGCTGCAGACGTCAGGTATCGCTGCTGCAGACGTCAGGTATCGCTGCAGACGTCAGGTATCGCTGCTGACGTCAGGTATCGCTGCAGACGTCAGGTATCGCTGCAGACGTCAGGTATCGCTGCAGACGTCAGGTGCTGATCAGGTATCTGCAGACGTCAGGTATCGCTGCAGACGTCAGTAGGTATCGCTGCAGACGTCAGCCATCGCTGCAGACGTCAGGTATCGCTGCAGACGTCAGGTACTGCAGACGTCAGGTATCGCTGCAGACGTCAGGTATCGCTGCAGACGTCAGGTATCGCTGCAGACGTCAGGTATCGCTGCAGACGTCAGTATCGCTGCAGACGTCAGGTATCGCTGCAGACGTCAGGTATCGCTGCTGACGTCAGGTATCGCTGCAGACGCTGCAGACGTAGGTATCGCTGCAGACGTCAGGTATCGCTGCAGACGTCAGGTATCGCTGCTGACGTCAGGTATCGCTGCTGACGTCAGGTATCGCTGCAGACGTCAGGTATCGCTGCAGACGTCAGGTATCGCTGCAGACGTCAGGTATCGCTGCAGACGTCAGCCATCACTGCAGACGTCAGGTATCGCTGCAGACGTCAGGTATCGCTGCAGACGTCAGGTATCGCTGCAGACGTCAGGTATCGCTGCTGACGTCAGGTATCGCTGCAGACGTCAGGTATCGCTGCAGACGTCAGGTATCGCTGCTGACGTCAGGTATCGCTGCTGACGTCAGGTATCGCTGCAGACGTCAGGTATCGCTGCAGACGTCAGGTATCGCTGCTGACGTCAGGTATCGCTGCAGACGTCAGGTATCGCTGCAGACGTCAGGTATCGCTGCAGACGTCAGGTATCGCTGCTGACGTCAGGTATCGCTGCTGACGTCAGGTATCGCTGCTGACGTCAGGTATCGCTGCAGACGTCAGGTATCGCTGCAGACGTCAGGTATCGCTGCAGACGTCAGGTATCGCTGCAGACGTCAGGTATCGCTGCAGACGTCAGCCATCACTGCATTGGCACCAGATTCAAATGCAAATGTAGTAATACAGGTCGCCTGCAGATGGCGCCTCACAGAGGCTTTTAGGCAGAAAGTTGATCATTCAACTAATTTGCACTAAAGTGACAAAATTATGACCAGGATATGTAGACAACACAATTGGACACTCATTTAAACTGTTTATCAACAAAAAAAAATTGATTTGAGGATGAGTTGTCCTTTAATTATGACGGTTATACAATTTAAGGATTTAACATGTATTGTTTTCAATGATGAATGGGAAAATTGGAAAATTAGTAGATCAAAAGTGAATTTGCTTTTGTAACTTTAGTGACAATGTGAAACTAATATGTGACAAACTCATCACACACAAAGTGATATTTATCAAGTCTTTGTTATGATGTTGGTAAATGGCTCACAGCTTGTGAAAACCCAAAATGAAATATTTTAGAACGATTTGAAAATATCAAATCACATCAAAATTATAACAAACTTATATTTCACTTTGTAAGTAATGAATCTTTATCATGCAACAGTTTCACATTCACAAATTTAATTACAGAAAACCTTTGGACTAGATTATAATTTTCTCAGTTTCACCTGTGATGCCTTTAAGTGTTTCATGATTTGAGTTTTCCTTTCTTGTTTTGTAAATCAGTTTGAGGGCTTGTTTACACTTGTTTGTCTTCACTTTAAAAATGGTTAATTTGCGATAATTGCACATCCAGATAATTCCACAAATTAATTATTTTTTAACACGGCACAAAAAGGGACCCAAAAATGCAATACAAGCGTGAAAAAAACCAAAACAAAACGAATGTATTAAGAGAGAAAGTGCTGGAGGGTACACACAAACAGGAACACAGACCTGCCAAAAAAAAAAAAAAAAAAAAACAAGGGTCAAAAAATAGCACAGGAGACTTGGACAACGTAGACATTTCACCAGAAGATGAAGATGAAAAAACCTGGCACCAACTGGCTGTAGAGCTGGTACTTGTAGTGTGCAGGTGATGATTGCCTCCAGGTGTGCAGAGAGAGGCAGTGGGAGTAGAGCAGGCGGCAGAGACACAGGAAGTGACTTTTTTTCCCGAAGTGAACCAGAATTTGGTCCAGTTCAAGTGTGATCTGTGAATACATTTTTCTATACAATATAGTCACCATGTCTTGTGATATTTCCCTCCACTCAGATCAATGGTATTTAAAGGAGCAGTATGTACAAATCTGGACAAAAGTGGTACTGCACTCTCCCTGACTCAGGTTGCCAGATATGCAGACGAATCCAGCTAGGACCATAACATCTGAATTTAAGAGTTTTGTCAACAACAAATCTATAATCAACACATTTTTCACAAAGATAGAAATCCTGGTTTCATTCCTTGTTTTGTTATTAAAGGCACACCGCGGACTTTGTGACCTAAAGAGTTGACACATATGAGTTATTTTATATGAATACTTGGGCCAATATACAGCGCTTGACACTTGCAATGCTCCGAGCGGGGCTGCCCTCTTGAAATACCGCCCATGTAAGTTTCGAGCAGACGGACCGTCTGCCACCAGGTCACGTGACTTGGAAGAAACACTTGCTTTAACGGCTACAGGCGCTGATATACTCATGGAGCTAAGGCTTTTGCTACTCATTTTTCACCTGCTCGACTCCTGGTCATGGCTGAGGCAAGGAAAAATTTTAAACCTTCGGAGGAGGCTAAAAAGAGGAAACGCGAAAGGGATCGTGCTGTAAGCTGCATGTCTGTATGAGCGCTGCTCTTCACCTGGTTCCTGGATGTCATCGACTGCAAAGATGTCATTCCACGCAGCACGAGCTAGACGCAGAACTCCCTCATCCAGGATATAGAAGTCCATGTGTGGTAGATTACTAATGCAGCGGTCTGGAGGCTGACCACAGCAGAGTCTCTCAATATCTGTAGGCATGTCTCTACAGTTTGAACACACACACCAGTGCATGCTGTCTGAATACACACTCAAAAGACACCGGCTGACTGTTTGTTGACTTTTGCGACAGTGCTGAGTTGCTTGTGGCCACTAGGGGCGCTAAACGTGAAAGTTGCAGGTCTAGCGCCCCTAGTGGCCAAGAGTTACACGGTGTGCCTTTAATGATTTGAGAATAATAACAAGATAATTTTTGGTACTGACATGTTACTTTACCGGTGAAATTAGCTCCATTCTGGCAACCCGGATCACAGACTTTCTGATTGGTGAAACGGTGGAGGGCGGGACATCAAAATAAAAACAATAACAAGATTTAGGGGTAAAACTTATTTTGAAATCCAAATATCTCTGAACTAATGTTATCAGTTAGATAAGTATTTGAAAAGACCTTTAATGATGACTTGACATAAAAATCTTACATATTGCTACTTTAATGTGAAGGAAATATTGGGATGATATTGAACAACATGAAAACAATACGAAGATAAATGCCATAGCCCTTACATGGCTGAATTTTTACCATCACGACACAAATATAACACTAAAACTCTTCATTTCTTTATAGATATTTGGTCAAGTCAAGTCGAAAACCGAGTGAAGCAGCTTGTTTTCTACATTCATGAGATGACCTATATTCTAGGGCTACAAAGGAGAATTAAATGAGGCCTAACACTTAATTAACTTCTCATTAATTTAGCAACATGCTCCGTGGTTTTAAGCTTGAAAACCATGTACCACTTTTTACATAATCATTGAAACCTTCCAGATGATGAATACTTGACAACATTAGTTTGTGTGGGTTATAGATGAATACAGCATATGTAGATACAGTTGTCATTAAGAGATAGTTGGAATTAATACAAACATGTATCAAGGTTTGAATGGATCGCTAAATGAAATAATTATATTTTATTAGTCAACAGACAGAAACAGTTAAAAGGGAGATTATCCTGAAGACTCCTGCTCCAGCTTCTCCATTTCTGTGGAGGCAATTCACAAAAAAATGGCTTCCTATACTGTCAACGGACCAAGCAAGCGGGTTTGGTCTTGTGGTCGGGCTGAAGCATTATTTTTGGTCACACATTTTCAGAAATGTGTGGAAATTGTGTATTAGGTCATCGCTTCATATACTGTAGAACACTCTTGAAGTTGTTATTTTTACTCTAAACATAAGAATTTTTAAACAAACAGTGTATCCCATATTGTATCAAATCAATCAAAATCAAATCAATTAATCAATTGATTATAAAAAAAAGTCTGATTTTTTTTTTTATTGTTCTGGATGTGTGAGTGTGAATGTGTTTTTGGATGATGAGACTGTTGTGTGTTTTATGGGTGGCTCAATGTGCTAATAATTTTGTTTTTACTTTTTAAAGGTGCGCTTTATTGATCCCCTTAGGGCGATTCAATCCTCTGCATTTGACCCATCCTGATGCTGCGAAGGCTTTACATCAGGAGCAGTGGTCGCCGTAGTAACAGCGCCCGGGAACCCATCTCCAGATGTTGATGCTCGGGTTGGTCAGGACCAGAGCTGGAGGATTTAACCTGGTGAGCATGTTTTTAGTGGAAACCGGATAACCTGGAGGAAACCTAAACAGGCACGGGGAGAACATGCAAACTCCACTCAGAAAGACCCTGTTCCGACCGGGATTCGAACCCAGGACCGTCTTGCTGAGAGGTGAGAGTGCTATCCACACAGCCACCGTGCCGCCCTCAATCGATCAATTGATTGAAATATTTTCCAAATTGTGCCGCTCTACTTGAGAAGCTTCACATCGCCTGCTGCTGCTGCTGCTGCTGCTGCTCCTCCTGCTGCTCCTGCTGCTGCTGCTGCTCCTCCTGCTGCTCCTGCTGCTGCTCCTGCTGCTGCTGCTGCTGCTGCTGCTCCTCCTGCTGCTCCTGCTGCTGCTCCTCCTGCTGCTCCTGCTGCTCCTGCTGCTGCTGCTGCTGCTGCTCCTCCTGCTGCTCCTGCTGCTGCTGCTGCTCCTCCTGCTGCTCCTGCTGCTGCTGCTGCTGCTGCTGCTGCTGCTCCTGCTGCTGCTGCTTCTGCCCTTAGTCCATCTCTATCTCAAGTCAGCGACTGAACCCCTGATGCAGCGACTGACAGGAGCCAGGTGAGGTTGCCAGGGGTGACAAGTTCATCGCCATTTTCTTGGTCTCAGTTACTACGGCGACAGTCTGAGTGACAGATGGAGCTGAGGCGTGTCACTGGTGGAGAGCGCTAAATGTGTCAATCAGAGACACAGATATAAAGAGCTTAAAGGATTGAGCAGGGGTCACAAGAATCACAGACGGAATGGGATCCCAAATGCACACAATATGGGTCTCACGGAGCAAGTGGAACATTTCAGATTGTGTGAAGAAGAACCTTTTCTGCAGCGATCAAACACGCTATTGGTCCAGATCTGTGTAATATATGTAGAAAATATATGTTTTAGGGATGCACGATATTGGAAAATAGAGCGATATTTGATATATTTAGTATTTCGATAACAATATTATTGTGATAATTTTGTCTTTCACCAAAAATTGCATTGAAACGACAAATAACAAAAAATAAGCACAACATTAATGACCTTCAAATGCATATATTTAAACACTTTTTAGTTTGTTTGTTGTTCTTGTGGAATGTCGATGTGTCTGTCTGTTTTGTTGTCTTCAAGATCATCTTTTTGATATAGATATCGCACGAACCAATATCACGATAACAATATTTTTTTGATATATCGTGCAGCCCTAATATATTTATTCTAATCTTGTTTACAGTTAAAATCAATACAGCTGCTAATCTTACAATGATGAATAAATTAATTAACCATATTTTACCTGCATGTGAAAGCCGAATCCCGTTAGACCTCTGAAGCTAAGCAAGACAGGGCATGGCTAGTACTGTGATGGGAGACCTCGACGTATGTTTTACCTGCATGTGAAAGCTGAATACCGTCAGACCTCTTATGCTAAGCAAGACAAGGCCAAGCTAGAACTGTGATGGGTGAAGACACATTGCCTATAGTCTGGTGTGTGTCTAAATGGTTGGTGGCATGTACCATGACCCGTCACATATGAACACTAAACTAAAGTATAATCCATTCGAAACGTGCACACACATGCAGTCCTGTCGCTAATATAAACAGTGTTGCTACCTCAGGCGCTCGGCTGAGTTGAAAAGCGGATTCCTCAAGTATGAAGTCAGACGATAGAGGATTTTATAGATATAATAAAACTTTAGCAACACGGAGGATATTCAGGAAATGAGAGAAGGACAGGTGTTTGTTTTGCTGCCTGCGCTGCCCTTATGAGCGTTGTGAAATTACAAAATGTCTCCTCAATCTTCATAAAATTTTGAAATGGACCCATTTTGGAGGGTTTATGATTCTGTTATAGGCACATCAAAAAGTTAGCAATTTAAATGTGCAGCGTGAAACTTTCCTGTGGTATTATTGATTATTGACGGGTATATTATTGAGCTTATTTACTGTCTTTGTTGCAAATCAAAAACACTGGAGATAGATCATCAATTTGATGCCAAACTGTGGATTCTATGGAATACATGCTTGCACTAAATCTAAACCTAAATCGCATAGAGAATTGTATGTAAACTTGCAATGCCCCATTCCTTTCAAATAGGGATGAGCTGTTGTTAATTTTTGATTGTACAGCAGTGACAAGAGCTGCTAATTAATTAAGTTATTATATGTTATTTTGGATGGTAGATTTGGTGCAGTTCTGAAATAAACATAATGAAAGGACTTCAACAATGCTCAAGTAAACACAATGGCTCTAATATAAACATGTTGCCAGTTAAAAGAGCAGAACCCTGGAGAGTTTTTGAAATGAAACCACAGAATTAAGCAGGACATTCATAGACCTGAAAAGTGACAGTGACCACACACTTTGTCCTGAAACTGAACTGAAAAATCCCTATTTCTGCATGAGTCACACGTTTATATAATATTTCTATCAGGAATAGACAGTGTTACACAAATAAACACAATGCGATAAGCCGCTTAGTCGGGCCAATCACCTGCAGACGGCACATTGATCTGCGCCGTCTGAATGCATCTTTATAACCGGCTGTCGGCTCCGGTCACGTCTCTGCCCTGTCCACTGCCTTCTGCCCTTGTGTCCGTCACTTTGAACTGTTTTGGGCTTTCTGTTGGTTTGAAGCGAGAAAAATAAAAAACAAGCCAATGTTCAACTGGGTGCAGAGAAACAATTGGAACTACCATAAAAAAAAGAAAAGTCTAGAAATATTGAAGCTTCTGTCATGGTTTAGGTTGAATTCCTGTTTTATTTTGTAGTTTGTCTTCTTTACTGAAACACTGAGAAATCTAAAATATTCTGGGGCTCTAGACGACATACCTCGACACTACATCATGCACTTTTTTGGTGATCTTATTTATCAAATCAAATAAATGTGTTATTGCATAGGCCAGGATAACAACAGCAAACATCTTGAGGGCAAATCAGATTCAGATTCAGATTCAGTTTATTTGCCAATTGCAGTAAAAAAAACCACATTGGAATAGATTAGCAAAAAGTCACCAGTGTGCACAGACAAATACAGACATAAGACAACATTAAAAGTACGGAAATAAAACGAACAAAACAGTAAACAAATGTCACTGTGAAATCGATCGACTAAAACAGTTTCAAAACAAGTGCAAATCATTAAAGTGCTCTGTTCACACTGATAACTGCTTGTGGAAAAAAGCTGTTATCATAACGAGATGTCCTGCATTTAGAGAACGATATCTTCTGCCAGAGGGAAGAAGCTGGAACATGGCTTTTCCAGGGTGGCCAGAAGAGTTGTTGATAATTCTTATAGCACTATTAAGAAGTCTGGATTTATAAAGAACCTCCAGAACAGGAAGCTCACAGCTTGTTGATTCAGCAACAGCAGACAAAAAATATAAATCATTTGTACACAAATAAATACAGGATAGAAGATACAAGAATTTACTTGCCATTTGCAGTAAAACCACATTGGAAAAGCTGTGCAAGACTACCCCAGTGTTTCCCAGATGGCACACACCAGAACTCTTGCCATAAAATACAATAAAAAAACACACTATGTTTAATAATATTTCATAAAATTGAATGTGATAAATTCAATTACCTGCTGTCATCAAGAATTACTGGCCAGCTCCTTGACATCCCAGTGTAACCGACAAGCTGGACAAGAGTCTAAATGTGAGGCTCATTTGCTGGACGGCACCGCGGAGGCCGGTCTCTAACTCTTGAAAACAACACTATACTTGAATGGGTGATTTGCGAAGAACACAGTGATACTCTTTAAATATTTAAATAATCTCCTTATCCCTGCTTTTCATCTGCCCCTGGGTTCTGTGCAGTGAGGTAGAGGACAGTAAATCTGGTCCAGCAGAACATGGGGACTTTTAGTGAGGTGTAATTGAAGATGTGGGTGCGTTACATCAGCATCAAAAGGACAGCCCAAATGGAGGAGTGAGAATAGAGGACAGAAATACCTCACTAAGTAGCTATTTATCTCATGTCTTATGCACATCCCTGCTTCCATTTCAACACTTGTCTTGTGTAGCACTAAAAACAAGAGAAAAGTTTGATTGGTTACAAAAATCCAAAATGTAACTGTTGTAAAAAGGGTTCAAAAGTGGAAGTAGCTTTAGCAGACGTCTGACAGATCAAGTTCTAATTGGGAATGCCCACACGTCATTCAGATTGAGCACCAGAGATTTACCCAGAATGAAGTGTGCAGTCCACATTCATGTAAGTTGTGAAACAAAAATGAGTTTTGTTTGCCCCAAGATATAAATACAAAATAAATGTATGCGACACAATTACCATATATGTCTGACTATATGTGACGCTGGCATTCACTGAAGATAATATGAATGCAAATTTGACATTTTCATTCCGAGCAGCCAATTCTGATTGATATGCATGTAGGCACAATAACCCATAAGATGAGCAGTTATAACTAGCTCAATGGTGAACGCCAAGACGACAAAACATTGTTCAAGCAAAAGCAAACAGAGCTGGTTCAAGAAAAAGCGCTAAAACACTCCATTCTTCACTGAGCTCCTTCCCAACCTCATGTAATTATAACCAATTAAAAATACTGCAGTGGTTTGGGGCACAAGCCAACCCACAACCACAAGGTCTCCTGTTTAGACGAGCCACTTCAGCACTAAAAACCTTGAAACTGTCTTATTAAACATAATCGTTCTGTTTTCACCGGTCTCTGCCATAAAGCCGGGGCTATTTGCTGCAGAGTGAAGGAATGAAAGATACGCCTCATGCCAAAATATGTGCACAGATGGATAGAATCGTGTTTGCTTGAAAAGTGGCAGTAATGATATTATATGGCACTTAAAATGAGGGATTAAAATTATGGCTTATGAGAGGACAACAAGATGGACTATTTATTTGTATAATTTCAAGTTTGGACACGCTCTCTTTATCATTGAAAAATATGGTCTAGTTCTGTGGTTCTGGGTTATTTTTTTAACTTAATATTATATTGAATGGGTTTGATGCCAAGCTCTTCATCAGAAGTCTCAGCACATTTAGTTTTCTTCAGTAAACTCAATTTTCAAATAAAAGCATAGTTCTGCTTTGGGTCACTAAGTGGTTTTCAGGTGCAGAATATTCATAGATCTGTATGAGAAAAGAGACGTATAGATTTGGACTTGAAAGTGCCAGTGGCTGCAGCTGTAATGAAGCGTATGAAGAAGTTTCTCTTTTAGAGCCGGGCCTAATATCCTGAATCCATTACTGCGAAGAATCAAAGGTAAAGCTCCCACAGTTCTTATGAAAAACATATGCACATATTCATTCATATACTATACCACTTTTACAAGACGGTATGGAGCAGAACTAATAAGAAAGGAGACTTGAAACGCAAAATAATTGTGTTTTTTCAGTTGGAAATGGTCGGACCTACATATCTAATTTTATAAGAGGAACGATGATGTATAGAGAAGACCTTCACAGGCAATATACTTTGAACAGTTGTCACACCTTGTAACAGAGCAGTACCTAGGGAGTTGTAAGCTGTTGGCTGAAGATTTTTGCCGTAAAAAAGGCATCGTAACTCATTGTCCCAAAAATCAACAATGATACGTTTTACCTAATTTTGAAAACTCTACATTTTCCACATAAATAAGTCCACACATTATTAAGCTAACACCAGCCAACTTCATTTCTGCTACATACACAAGCTCTAAATGATTGTAAAGCTTAAAACCTCTAGGATTCAGAATTTGGTGCGAAAATACGCCATGGTCATTCAGGCAACTTCAGCTCCACTATTTGTTTCCCCTTAGTTTCCACAAGAGCAGGGACTTCTCTTCATGGGAAACATA